ACTGCCTCGGCCTCCCAAAGTGCTAGGATTACAAGCGTGAGCCACCGCACCCAGCCTAGTATTTACTCTTACAGTGGAATGAAGAACACAGTATCCCACGTCATGGGACCCACTCATGCAGAAGCATGTAATCTTATTCACATACTGTCAAGAGAGCAGAACCCTCAGAAGCTACTGAACCAACTTCCTCATTCTCAGCCGAGATCCCCTCACCGGTTTCTCATTAAGAAGTTGTGTTTCCAATGTGAGGTGGGAACATCTAGAGCCAGTGAGTGCACTGCTGCCTCCTGGGGTGGGCCATTTCACATCCCGTTAGCTGTAATTGCTACAGATCATGTCCTTGTCTCTCAATCAGTTACCTGTTGTTTGTTGTTTCCTGACACTGGCCTGGTTCTAGTAGTGCAGTAGTTGAAGGCTGCAGAGAGAGTGACTGCCTGAGCCAGGCTCTCTGCTGGGTGCTGGAGACACAGTGGAAGAAAACTGATTCCCATTTTTCCGGTCCACAAAGGCTGAGTCACATTTCCACATGTGAACGCCTCTCAACTTCGGACTTCGTTCTTTTCCAAATTAAAAGTGTCACTCTTTAAAAAAAAATGTGCTTTAAACATTTAATAAGGTTTTTAAACCATTCTTTTTATTTTGAAATAGGAAAGTTCACAGGAAAATGCAACAACTATATATTCACAGTTTAGGTGTTAGCACTTTGCTGTGTTATGGGGGGACCGTCCTTCACGCACGCAGTCCCCCTGCTGGGGATCTGAGTCGTCTCCAATTTCTCACTCTCCAGCACTGCCATGGTAAGCATCTGGGCACACGTGAGTCCATGGCATTGGCCCAGGGGGACTCCTGGGGCACAGATGGTGAACTCCGACCCCACTGCTGCTGGTTTACTCTCCAGGTGGCATCTCTTTACCCTGCTGCTTGCAGTCCTGAGGATTGCTGTTCTCTGCCATGCTCTGCACAGGCAGGGTTGAGTTCCTGACTCCTGATGAGGCTGAGCAGCATTGCATAGGCCTCTTTGGTCACACACATGTAATTTGCCGATTCATATCTTCGCTTATTTTTCTGTTTTAAAAAAATTGTCTTATCGATCTGGCAGCTTTGTGTTTACATCTTCTGGGTAATTGGGCATTGCCAGTTATATGCATGGTAACCCTCACAGACAGGGGTATGTAACTTATCCTTTTCCTTGATTTATGGTATCTTGTTTTGTACACCAGTTATTTAACTATTCCCCTCTAGTTTATACTTCCAGGAATATTTAAGAAATCTTCCTCATTTGGGTACAGTGGTGCGTGCCTGTAGTCCAAGCTACTTGCAAGGCTGAGGGAATGATCACTTGAGCCCAGTGTTTATGGTCAGCCTTGGCAACATAGTGAAACACCATCTCTCCCTTCTTTTTTTTCAACTCTCCCTACACCGCCCCCCCACCCCCCACCAAGACTGAGTTTCGCTCCTGTTGCTCAGGCTAGAGTGCAGTGGCATAATCTTGGCTCACTGCTACCTCTGCCTCCCAGGTTCAAGCGATTCTCCTGCCTTGCCCTCCCAAGAAGCTGGAATTACAGGCACCTGCCACCATGCCTGGCTAATTTTGTATTTTTAGTAGAGACAGGATTTCACCATGTTGGCCAGGCTGGTCTCAGAATCCTGACCTCAGGTGATCTACCTGCCTCAGCCTCCCAAAGTGCTAGGAATACAGGCGTGAGCCATCGCATCCAGCTGAAACGTCATCTCTTTAAAAAAAAAAAAAAAAAAAAGTCCAGGTGCGGTGACTCGTGCCTGTAATCCTGGCACTTTGTGAGGCTAAGACAGATGGATCACCTGATGCCAGGAATTTGAGACTAGCCTGGCCAACATGGTGAAACCCTGTCTATACTAAAAATACAAAAATTAGCCATGTGTGGTAGTGCGTGCCTGTGATCCCATCTACTCTGGAGGCTGAGGCAGGAGAATCACTTGAACCTGGGAGGCGGAGGTTGCAGTGAGCCTTGATCGCACCACTGCACTCCATCCTGGGCAACAGAGTGAAACTCCATCTTAAAAAAAAAAAAAAAAAAAAGCCTCCTTCATCCAGATGTCAGTCTAGTCTCCTAGATACTCTGCTGATGATTTTAACGTTTTCGTTTTATACTTTTAGTCTGGAATTCATTTTGTATATGTCATGAAGTAATTCAGTAACTTCATTTGCTCCCGTATGCATAGTCAATATAATTTACTCATTGATTTAAAATGCCACTTCTGGTATCTGTTACGTTCCCCTATGTGTTTGGATCTGTTCCTGGGCTTTCTCGTCTGTCCCATTGGTCTTGATGACCATAGATT